GGAAGTGGGAGGTTGTGGTTTCTCCTCCATGCCATCAACAACGGAGAGAAATATGGCTTGTTTGAGGTTGTTAAAGGGCTTAGGTAAAGTATTTATGAATTCTGATGACTATGTTCATGAGTGAGGGAAATTATACTCAGTGTTTCAAGTGTGCTAGGTGTTTCTAAATTGCATTTGGAAATTCCTAAAAGTGTAGCAGCAGCATTTCCCACATGAGCACTGCAAACTCCTATTCTCGCTAAACCTGCTCTATGCAGCTGTTGGTGGGTTTCAGCTAATTCTGGCCTCACCCTCAGCTTCCTGACTGTGGTTGGAATGAGTGAAATCTGGATGACATAAGGGGTCTACTTTAGAAACAAAATGTTCTGTTAATGCAGTGAGTGTAGGTGTTTGCAGAATTATGACCCTGTGCCTGGAATAAATTACCCTGCTGTATTCAGTGCTCCACACTACGTATACCTTTTATGTGTCTCATGTCACAAAGCCTTTAGGAAGAAAAGGTCTGTGTCTTATGTGATATTCACTCTGGCTTCTAACACTCTAAACAAGTGTTTAGTGTACTGAGAATCCCTTTGTCCATGGGATGGGCAGGCTTACAATGAACACATTTTGTCCTTGCACCTTAATGCTTGGCTTGAATGATCATAGAAGGTCAAAGTGACGTTTCAGATAATTATGTTCAGCCATCTCTAATTTTACAGGGGAGGAAGCTGAGGACTAGGGAGCTGATGCAACCTGCTCATTTTTAGTTAAGGCAGAGCCAGATCTTCTAACTCCTGTTCTGGGGCTGTATCATGGGACTCTACAAAAGCAGAGGACCTGCATATTCTAGCTGATTCTGGGACAGCATTAGGTAACCGCAGGTCTGAGAGAGTAGTTAGGCTTTTTATATCTATTTATTTAACTGATATTGATGACATGCAAATTATAGTATACTAAAAAGCCTCATGTTTATTGATTGCAGGAGTCAGGGGGTTGACTAATGTGCTATTTACCAGGCAGATAACAAGAGGCAAGACCCAGCCTTTTACCAGCATCCCCTCTCACCCTTTAGAGGTTAATGCATTATTCAACACCAAGCACGGAAACCATCTTTTTAGGTGACCCAGTTGTGGCAGGGAAAGAAGGGCTTGCCTTTCAGTCTACTATTTTGTCATGCAATGTTTCACCTTTAGTTGAATTCAACAGCCACGTCTCAAGAACCTGCAATGCAAAAGGACAGCTATGCCTTGTGGCCCCGTGTCCTGAGTGATGTGTCTGAGCTGATGGCAGAGTCCTCTTTTAGTCTTCATGCATCTCTCAGTCTGTCAACGGTGAGGCATAAACTCAAACTGCTCCTGTGTTCTCAGAGCATTATTAGGTGAAAAGCAGTTATTTCCGGAGTGATGTGTGGCTCCTAATCAGTAGATGACTGACATTGCTCCTTTGTAGTATTAGAAAAAGAAAAAATAATCCCTTTATCTGAAGAGACTTAAGAAGGGAGATTCATGTTGTTCAAAATGGAATGTGACCAGGATGTGGCATCTCCCACCACCAGGTTTTTGGACCTGGGGCTAGCCATTTCTTGTTGACTACTCTTTTGTGAAAAGCCTTCTTTCTCCTGACTCTGTCCCCCACATCATCACAATCGATACAGATAACCAGATGGAATTTTCCAACAAACAGCTCATATTGTGGTTATTTGTATGTAGTCTTATTTCACCTGCAGACTGTAAGCTCCTTGAAGGTCAGGGCTTTGTCTCTGTCACTTTGTTTCCCCAACAGTATCGTACAAATAGCAGGTACTAAATACTATTTAATAAATGAATGAAAACACCTTTCTAATAGTGACCTCCACAGGGAAGGGATGGAAACAAGAAGGAAAAGGAACCAGGGCCTAGAAGTATTGATTTTTATGTCTGGTTCTTTGTAAGCCTTTTAACACTTACTTCCAAAAATCCAGGGAACTCCTTTTCCATGAGTACTCTCAGGTCCTCCTTTGTTAAGTAGCCTTTATCCCCAGCAAATTTGTGAAATGTAAACATCATGGTTTCCATGGCATGTTCCATTTGAGATGGCATTTTGATGTGGTCTGTTGAAGCCTATTAGAGGATGTAAAGAAACAGGGTTTACATTAACATTTTTTTTTTTTTTTGAGACAGAGTCTTGCTCTGTCGCCCAGGCTGGAGGGCACTGCCACAATTTTGGCTCACTGCAACCTCTGCCTCCTGGGTTGGGGTGATTCTCTTACCTCAACCTACTGAGTAGCTGGGATTACAGGGACGCACCACCATGCTTGGGTAATTTTTGCATTTTTAGTAGAGACGGGGTTTCACCATGTTGGTCAGGCTGGTCTCAAACTCCTGACCTTGAGATCCGCCTGCCTCAGTCTCCCAAAGTGCTGGGATTACTGGTGTGAGCCACCGTGCCTGGCCAACTTTTTTTTTTTTTTTTTTTGACAGATGTTATGAATGAATTTTTTTAGACTGAAAGATAAAATTGTATGTATTTAATATGAACAACATGATGTTTTGAAGTATATATACATCGTAGGATGAATGAATCTAGCTAATTAACATATGCGTTACCTCACATACTTAGCACTTTTGTGGTAAGAACACTTAGCCACTCTTACTACTAGTCAAGAATACAATAAGTTGTTATTAACTATAGTCATATTGTTGTAAATAGCTCTCTTAAACTATTCCTTGTAATTGAAATTTTGTATCTTTTGACTAAACATCACTCCAGTGCAATCACCCCAGCCCATTCTATTCTTTAGTTCTATGAAATTAACTATTTAAGATTCTATATATGAGTGAGATCATCTGGTATCTGTCTTTCTGTGCCTGGCTTATTTCATTAAGCATAACGTCCTCCAGGTTCATCTATGTGGGTTTACATTAACTTTTAAGCCACATGTACTGCCAGCCTTTGTAGGATAATTGGAAGGATGGAGATGAGATCATCCATTTGGTCCTCCCCAGCTTTAAAATTCAGTGAATCTAAGAACCAGTCCACCCCAGTTTTTGGGTCTCTTGTTGGTAGAAATAGACACCTTAGGTACTGGTGCTGTAAATGAACTGTTTATCTAACTCCAGCTAATTCGCATAAATAACCTAATGAAGAAGAGAAGCTCTAATTATTTAGAAAAGCAAGATCAGTGTTTCCCCCGCTTTTGTTTTTTGAGACGGAGTTTTGCTCTTGTTGCCCAGGCTGGAGTGCAGCGGCTCACTGCAACCTCTGCCTCCTGCGTTCAAGCGATTCTCCTGCCTCAGTCGCCTGAGTAGCTGGGATTACAAGCGTCTACTAACACGCCTGGCTAGTTTTTTTGTATTTTTAGCAAAGATGGGGTTTTGCCATGTTGGGCAGGCTGGTCTCAAACTCCTGACCTCAGGTGATCCGCCCGCCTTGGCCTCCCAAAGTGCTGGGATTACAAGCATGAACCACCGTGCCTGGCCCAGTGTTCCTCTTTTTAACTGACAAAGCACCTACTGAAAGAACAGATATTTCATAATTTCTCTTTGCACTAGTATATGAGATTCTTAGATATGGCTGATACTAACAATCCACACAGTCAAGGCTGGTAAATATGAAAACTTCAACCTTCTAAGCTTAACGTGGTAACTTGGTTCAGTCTGATTCTAGAGTTTAGAAATCTGCTTACAAGGAATTTACCTGCTGGGTATGTATGTACTCTTTACTAAAGTTCTGAACTTGTTATTTATTGCAATAAAGACAGTTGCATCTCTGGCAGTAAAATGCAGTTGCTCTACCCAAATGAAAACTACTCAAAGTCCATTGTCTAGTTCACTTGAGAAGCAACAGGTAATAGTATAACCTAACTCATGGCAGGGCCTCATATGTTTTTAGTTGCACTAGACAGATGAGCTGCTCTCAGTCTAGCACACAGTGGGAGAGCAAGTGTTTTCATCATAAAGTGTTTATAAGAAAGGAAAGGAAACATGTCAGATTATTCCATTTAGGTATAATGAACTAGGGGTATATGTCTCATCAAGACCCAGCACTTGATACTTAATAGAACCTCAGTGAATTTTGGCTTAATTGAAGGAATCGTTTGGCCAGAACAGAGAAGCTTTGGCTAATATCACCTAAAATCACTACTAGATGGGAAACAGGTGAACTTGAATGGAGACTGTAATATAGCACTAAAAAATAAAAATAAATAAATCATAAGGGTAGGCTGTGAAGCACAGATGGAAGGGCTGGCAACTTCCTCTGCGGAAGAGCTCTAACAGGAACCTGAGACATGCATTGGTCTGATTCCTGTCTCTGAGAGATGCCTGTTCAACACTGATCCTCGAATGCTATCTTTTACAGAGGAGAAGGTGGAGTTGGTAAACATGAGGATTGAGCAATTACATTTAAGAATTGTAAATTCTACCCCTTAATCTCCAGAAAAGTATGGGAACCAGCAGACCAAAGAATGCTATTCTAGAGAATGCTTTAAATCAGAATCTGGCATGATTAATCTGGAAGGCAGTTATTTGTTTTGGAGAGAGCTGCAAATGAATGCCTCAAGGTCAGCCGTAAGATGAATTCCAGGGGAACCACACCCTTTTCCTTCTCTTCCGACACAGTTCTGGCTCATTCCCCATCCCTCATATGGGTTTCAGATGGCAGTGGGTTTACAGAGAGTCTGCCTTGCCTGGATTGGTACTCCAAGTCTAGCAATTTAAGATAACTGAACCGGGCCAGTCACCTGTGGGAGAAGGACGTGGGATCCCACCCCAGTTCTTAAATAACTCAGGAAAGAAGTCAGACACCACAGAGGTTTAAAAATACCTGTACTCAAGTTCAGAGCAGCAGAGCATCTCAGGATCAATTCCCAGAGAACCCAGAAATTGGAACTGGGTGGGGCACCTAGTTTACCTCCTTCAGAGGACCGAGCAGAAGGAAAGTGCACTGCAAAGCCACAGAATTAAGAAAGGGAATGCAGCAGGGTAAGGACCTCTAAATTTTAAAAAGGGTAATTTAGGGGCCAGGCGTGGTGGCTTATGCCTGTAATCTCAGCACTTTGGGAGGCTGAGGTGGGCGGATCACAAGGTCAGGAGATCAAGACCATCCTGGCTAACATGGTGAAACCTGGTCTCTACTAAAAATACAAAAAGTTAGCTGGGCATGGTGGCATGCGCCTGTAGAACCAGCTATTCAGGAGGCTGAGGCAGGAGAATCACTTTAACCTGGAAGGCAGAGGTTGCAGTGAGCTGAGATAGTGCCACTGCACTCCAGCCTGGGTGACAGAGTGAGACTCTGTCTCAAAAAAAAAAAGGCTAATTTACGACCTCCTAAGAAATACGAGTTGTCAGCTCAGGAAATCCTGGCCACCCTTGAATATCTTCTTCAAGAGAGCAAGGTGAGTCTAACTCACACTGCATGAATGCCCAGGTCTGATGTCACTCAATCCCATGCCTCTCTTGCCCACAGCCATTATGAAGTGATGGAACTTTCTTCCCTGAAGTTACATCCTTGGTCCACTGGGTTCTCCTTTTCCCTTCTCCCCCAGTGGTTTTACCCAGTGGGTGGATTGTGAATATTGCAGCCAGCTGACTCCCTATCTGTCCAGTAGACCTTCTCCAATAAGGATACAGAGCGGGGGCCAGCCAGGAGGTGAAAATAGCATTGAAAACTAGGGGAGAAGCCCTTGTCTCTGCAGTAACCAGTGCCCCAAAGGGCACTCACCAGAGAAGGAACTCTGTTTTGAAGAAGGAGCTGCACACTGGCTTTAAATTAAGACAGAGGAAAGGGGAAAATGTTATTAAAACTCTGTTCTCTTGGCTAGAGAATCACGTAGCTCTTGTTGGAGTGCAGCCACTGGTTGCCCCACTGAGTCAGCCCTGCCTGGCCCTCTGTTCTTGGGTGGCGCTTGCCTGGGCAGGGCTGACTACAGCACTGACTGTTAGCTGCTGAAACTGAAGCTCTTCAGGGACTTTAATCTGGCATTTCCTCCCTCACCTAGCCACTCAGCAAGCTCTGTTCAGATGTGGGCTTCCTGCATCCTGGTTAGACACATTTTGACAGGAGGGCTTTGGGGCTGAGGCTGAGAGGCAGCAGGGCACTCTCTATCCCCAATAACTTGCTCTTGTACCTGAAACATTCCATTCCATTTAATTGTTTACTTCTCAGTCTGAGATTTAAGCTCCTCTTGACCAAGAACTACAAATTATTCTGCGTTTATTCGTGGAGCACTATAACTGTTAGGTGCATAAATGAACCACACAAGCCCTTGGCTAGTAGCTGAGGTGCACGTGTGACTACCTAGAACTAGGCTGAAAACCTCGGAGCTCAGAGCTCAGGAGGACAATGTGAGAGCTGGGAAGGGCCAGGAAAGGGGCCCCCAAAGGGTTCAACTATGAATGGAACAGTAGAGTACACAGGAGTGCACATTCCATACGCAAAAGGAAAAATATGTGTCCTGCTAAACAGGTCTGGTCAGAATGACATGACTTTGCTCCTTCTCTTCTAACACTGGCTGTTTTCCCATGTTTTCATTCATCCCATCTTCTACTTTATGCTTTTCTAGTGTAGCTCACTGCTGAGCATCACAGGATGTAACAGCCTTGCTGTCCACTCACTTTTTATTGAATTATTCTATTCTGATGCCTATACATGCCCACCTTGTCTGCCTGAGCAACAGGTCTTAAGAAGGGAGGCAGAGACGTCTTTCGCTCTATAGTTTTCTCTATAGAAAACAATTCTGGACTCCACAAATTTAGTTACCATAGGAGGAATTCAATTTTCCATTTTTGGGTCTCCTACTCTGAGCATCCACTTTAAATGTCCCAGACGTGGCTTTAGGCATGAGGGTGTTCACACACACATACACTCACACACACACAGATACACACGTTCTCTCCATGGTGCTTGCCTTTGAGGAATTAACCAGCTAATAGAAACTACTTAAGCATCTGGCGTGAATTCTGGTTATTTGTGTTTCTGTTTCTTCCCTCACCAGATTGCAGGTTTCTTGAGCAGGGTTCCAGTAGCCAGTGCTCGAGCCCGCATAGAGCTGCTCGATTAATTTGTAAGAAATCGATAATAATGTATTTTGGTTGTCCTGAGAGTAGCAGAGAAGCAGGAGTCCTCCTCAGAAAAGTGTCTGCTCCTGAACAATCTCAAATGTTTGCTCTGGACATGTGCCCAGATCCCAGCTGCAGTTTCAAAGAGGACACTTCTGAAGACTGAGAGTCAGACTTGCTTTGCTTCCCTGTATCTTGTCCATACCCTAGTTTTCTTACAGCCCACCCAGAAAATAAACGGCCGGGTGTCAGTAAAAACAAACACCTGTTATTTAAAATATGTTGAGATTTCCTTCCTTTTGCTTTAGAAATTTTGGATTTTTTTTTTAATTGAACCCAGAAGGCATTCTTGAATTTGATCTCTGAAGGGAATTCAGAAAAAATGAGTTGAAGCAATGGATCTGGATCCAGGCCCTCTCTCTCACCTCTTACCAAATAAAACTTGCCCACTAAAGAGTTGGCCAGCAAAGGAAAGTTTCAGATGCAATTCAATAGGCAGAAAGAACTCCGAAGAAACCTCCTCCAATCTAACTAAGTGCATCCATTTTTCCCTAAAGAATGCTCAGGCATCAGCCTAATCAGCCAACACAGCTATTGTGACAACTGCTATTTAATCCTTTGGTAGGGTGGGTCGTACTTATTTAGTAAAGGAATAGCAAGTTCTGAAAATTCTTTAAAAGAAGTAAATTCTTTTTGCTTTTGATGTGAGATTGTTAAATTTGTTGAGTCCCCAGAAAAATGAGAAACTTAAGATGTTAAAATTTTAGTCCAGCTTTCTCAGCACTTTGAGTGCTAATTTATACATTATAACCCTGAAAGAATTCCATTGTTTCTCTCAACTTTATGCTTTAAAAGACTGGACTGTGTCCAAGGGTATTTGAAGTGGGTTGTGCTCTACAAAAGACATATTTTTTTGAACTGTCAGTAGAAAGCAGGGAGGCACACAGTCTTAGCTCCACCCAGTCCAGGCCTGACCCCACTGGAGCGGCTGCTTAGGAGGCTGGCAAGAGGCCGGCACGCTGGAGGAAAGGGGCCTATTTGGTGTGTCCGAGAAAAGCTAGGAAGAGCATCACCTCGAACGCAGCAGAGTGAGACCCAATAATTGCTTCATGCCCAGTAGACCAAAAACAGATGGCAAGAACTGAAATAAGAAACTCCAAACGGTGGCTCAAGGGCCATGGTGGTCAAGGACCACCGTGAAGAAACTACCCTCTGGCTGCGAAGGAACAAATACACCATTGGGAAGGGATGATTAAACAGAAACCGGATAGGAATCGGTGGGGGCAGGGCCCGTGAAGAAACTTTCAGTGAGTTATATGAACTCATTCCCGCTCCAGCCCCTGGCATTGTCTTTTACAATTTGCTGAAACATGTTGGAAGCAAAGATTACCGACTGGATGTTTCCACGAGCCCGGTCTCACCTAAAGCACACAACGTAAAACTTCACTCCTGGAGGCTGAAACTCAAGCCTCTGGTGAAAAATATCCGCAACAACTGCAAAGCTCTTAACGGGACAGGCTACCTCCCAAGTAAGTCTGAGCCAGGGTGCCAGGCGCATACTGGCCGATAATGAAGAGCGGCCTTGCCAAGGCCTTGGTTACCGATCTAATTACTGCCCTTGCCCACAGTTCAGTCAAGAAACCTCTCCTGCAGACTGGCGGCCAGTCCAGGTGTGACTCACTTCCTCTTGGAAAATGCCCTCTGAGATGGCACAGTTCCTCTTTTCCTTCAGGGAGTGTTCTGTCCAAACCATCCACAGTGAGTATCTGCAGCCAGCCACACCCACATGGCCTCACAGCTGAGTCACAGGCCTCAGACCACTAGGAGAATCTTGGAGCCCTCTGCGCTAACCACGCCCTGCAGAAGCTCCCGCAGGGACAGAACTGGGTGGGGGCAGAAAGCGGGGTGGGCTTAATGCATCCCAGAGTCTAGCTCAGGGCTCCCCTGTGCTGCCCTGGCTTGGAGCGGTCTGCATTCCACCCCCAGCCAACAAGGCAGAGCTCCTGGTTTCACTTAGGCAGAGCTGGACTGAGGCTGGACAGGGCAGCAGTGTCCACAGCTAGGGGCAGCGCCATTCCTTCCGCCAAAGCGCAGGTGGTGAACCAAGTACCAATGGCAAGTCTGTCTGTCTCACTGCACCAGGCCAAATTAATCTAGGATTGGAAGATCCTTCATCATAGCCTGCTCTTCCGCCATCTCTTTCTGGTTCCACTTATTTAATTAAGTTAACTAGGGAACCTTTCAGTAGAGAAACCGCTTCACACCGCCCCTCTCCCTCCCCCCACCCAAACTGCTTTAGACAGAAAACAAGCGGACCTCCCTCCCTCAGCAGGAAGACCCCATCGAGCTGACAACAGGAAGCCTCAACGTGAAACGCCCGTTTGGCCGAGGGACTAAGGGGTACTTCTTAAGAAGGGACGCCCCCAGCTCCCTACTCGTCCTACCCGCGCCTGCTCGGGCTCTCCAGCCGCGTGGAGGCTACGAACATGCAAACCAAGGTTGGCCTGCGGGCAGAACCCACCAAGAAACACGCCAGCCAGGGCAGGGGCGAGCAGGAGGGGTTCGGTAACCCGAGAGACGAGTGGGAAAGCAGGAAAGGTGGGAGTAAAGCAAGGAAAAGGGAGGAGGGAAGAGGTCCAGGGGCACCGGCACCACAGTCCCCACGTAAAGGACAAGTATCCCCTCCCCCGGTTCGCCTGGGTCTGGGGGCGGCCGCGCTCGGGCCGGGGAGGGGCGCTGCTGGCCTTGTCTGGGTGCGGCCCGGAGCACCCAGCAGCGGATTCCCCACCGCCCGCTCCCCGTCCAGGCCCCGCGGTGCCCGGGACGATCCGCGAAGCCAAGTGCGAGGGTTACCCCGGGCGGCAGGTCGGGGGCTGGGGACTATCCGGGAACGGCACGTGGGCCGGGCGGAGCTCACCTTGGCCGAGGCGCGGCGGACGCTGGGCTAGCTAGACGCGGGGCGGCGAAGCGAGCGCAGCGGGCTGTGAGCCTTCCTTAGTACGTGCGGCGGGTGGGGAGAGGGAGGCGGCGCGGCAGCGGGAGGAGCCTGGCTGGCGCTCGGCCGGGCGCTCCCCAGCCCTGTCTCCTCCCCCTCTTCCTGCCCCCAACTCCCCCGACCCGGGGCGCGCGGCCCACGCCCTGCCCTCGCTCCCGGACCCGCCTCGCTGCGGCCTCGCCCGCCCCAGACAGAGCGTTCTTGTAAACTTCTCTTAAGTAGGAACAGTCCCGCTCTCGAATATTTCAGGGCATCCCCACCCTGGGCCTGCCCTTCCTCTCGGGTTTGGTTTTAGAAAGTGGGTGTAGAAAATCAAAGAACCTGGCCGTCCTGCGGGTGGGGCACGCTGGCGCAGAACCAGAGGTACCGGCTCTGTGGGCACCTACGGGTGTAGGAATTATTTTCTGGATGACCTTGCAGGGAGTGGCACGTGGAGCCCTACGGACCCGAGAGGCTCTAGGACTTGGTTGTTCTCAGATTAGCCCTAGGAGGTCCATCCCCGGGTCTAGACCGCCTGCGCCCGGTGGTGTGGGGGAGGGGGGGTAGCACCTCCCCAGCAGCCGGGCTCCCCGCCCTGCCGGGCCCTCGAGGTGCCAGAGGGAGGGTGTGGTTTGGCTTGTCAGCACCCAGGGGCGTCACAAATCCTCCGTTGAGCAGGGGATTTACTGCTCTTTGTGTGGCTTCACTTGACCAATAGTTCAGTTTCAGTGTGGCTAATGTTAAAAACTTGCTGGGCGTGGTGGCTCACGCCTGTAATCCCAACACTTTGGGAGGCTAAGGGCGGGTAGATCACTTGAGGTCAGCAGTTCGAGACCAGCCTGGCCAAAATGGTGAAAACTCGTCTCTACTGATACAAAAAGTAGTCGGGAAAGGTGGTGGGCTACTGTTATCCCAGGAGACTGAGACATGAGAATCGCTTGAACCCGGGAGACGGAGGTTGCAGTGAGGCGAGATCATGCCACTTAACTCCAGCCTGGACGTCAGAGTGAGACACTGTCTCCAAAAAAAAAAGTTTAAAACTAAGTTTCCAAGGCATTATGCTGTGGTCCTTAAAAGTCCTTTAGAAGAATTTTCTGGAATAAATTTAGAGAAAGCCTAAGTGTTTCCTAGGGGATGCTTACCTACTCCTCGCCCCTCCCCCGCCTCCTTTTATTTGGTTTGTGACTTAGGGTTAAATACAAGCTTCTAGCAGCTATTGGTGGAAAAGAGCCCAGTCCCAAACTCTGGGGTTTTCCTTTGTTCCCAGGGGAGGCCTTGGAAGGAATGAGTGATCCCAAAGGAATGAGCAGACTCGGGGAATCCTCCAACTGCCACTTCTGACTAATCTTGGCTGTTGCCAGGAAATCCTAACTTGGATTTCAGCTATTGCTTTCCATGCAGCCCTGGTGCTGACAATTCAAGTGGACGGCTCTCCAGGATCTTCCTATATACAGTACTTCCCAGTCCCCAGGTCGCAGTCATCAGTGGAGGAAATCCTGGATCCCTTTTGTCACGGATTGGAATGCGACTGGGTTTGGAGTAGGAATGCCTGGGTTTGCACACCCCTACTCATCTGATTTCTTCATCTAGTCCACAGACCTTAGGAGTGCTTTAGTATGTGTGCATAGGCCTGGGAATTCAGGGATTAAGGAATCAGTCTCTTCCTTTGAAGAGCTTGGGAGTTAGATAAGCAAACAATGTAAATCCAGTGTGCTTAGTGAATGGTAGAGGATACTATCAGATACTAGGAGAACACTGAGGAGGGGCTTTCAAGTCCCCTTGGAGTGGTCAGAGAGTAATTCCTGCAGGACACAACATTGGGTAGAAATTAAAAAATAACAATAACACTTATTAGAACTTTTAAATCTGTACAAAGATTCTACTCTTAGAAGGCTTGGAGAATATATTAATGTATAAAATGTGACTTATAAATACATGAACCAAAGGTAAACATTTTCATATTTCTTTCTAGTCTTTTTATGTATATATGACAAATATTTACATAATTATGATCATACTGGTTATAAAATTGAGTACAGTCATTCACTGCTTAACAATGTTTGAGCCAACAATGGATCGGGTATACAGCAGTGGTCCCTTAAGATTATAATAGAGCTAAAAAACTCCTTTTGCCTAGTGACCTTGTAGCTGTCTAACGCAATACTTTACTCATGTGTTTGTGGTGATGCTGGTAAACACCTGTGCCGCCAGTTGTATCGAAATACAGCACATACCGCTTGTGTGTAGTAAACAATACTTGAGAATGGTAATAAATGACCATGTTACTGCTTTATGGATTTACTATACTTTTCATCATTATTTTAGAGTGTACTCCTTCTACTTATTAAAAAAAACAGTAAAACTTTAAAAAAAAGTTTTAAAAACAGCCTCAGGCAGCTCTTTCAGGGGGTTTTCCAGAAGAAGGCATTGTTACCATAGGAGATGTGTGTTATTGCCCCGAAGGACCTTTCAGTGGGACAAGATGTAGAAATGAAAGACAGTGATATTGACAATCCTAACCCTGTGCAGACCTAGGCTAATATGTGTGTTGGTGTCTTGAGTTGTGTGTGTGTGTGTGTGTGTATGTGTGTGTGTGTGTGTGTGTCTTAGTTTTAAACAAAAAACTTAAAAAGTTAAACAAATAAATAATTTGAAAAATAGAAAATATAAAGAAAATATTTTCTATAGCTGAACAAGATGTGCTTTAGGCTGGGTATTATTACAAAATAGTCAAACATTTAAAGAATTTACAAGTTTAAAACATACATTTACAGTAATCTAAGGTTAACTTATTATTATTATTTTGGTTTTTTTTGAGACAGGGCTCCCTCTGTCGCCCAGGCTAGGGCGTAGTGGGTGATCTCGGGCTCACTGCAACCTCCACCTCCCGGGTTCAAGCGCTTCTTGTCCCTCAGCCACTCGAGTAGCTGGGATTACAGGCACGTGCCACCATGCCTGGCTAATTTTTGTATGTTTAGTAGAGACGGGGTTTCACCATGTTGTTTGGGCTAGTGTTGAACTCTTGGCCTCATGTGATCCACCCATCCTGGCTTCCCAAAGTGCTGGGATTACAGGCATGAGCCACTGCATCTGACCAGGTTAATTTATTATTGGTAAAGAAAAACTGTTTTAAATATAGTATAGTCTTAAGTGTACAGTGTTTCTAAATTCCACAGCAGTGTACAGTAACGTCCTAGGCCCTCACATTCACTCATCACTCACTCACTGACTCACCCAGAACAACTTCCAGTCCTGCAGGCTCCATTGATGGTAAGTGTCCTACATAGGTGTAGCATTTTTAATCTTTTATGCCATATTTTTACTACATTTTTTTCTATGTTTAGGTACACAAATACTTACCATTGTGTTCCATTTGTCTACAGTATGCTATTCAGGGTTGTAGTCCACGAGTGCTCGACTATAGAGCCTCGTTGTGTGGTAGGCTACACCACCTAGGTTTGTACAAGTACATTCTGTGATGATTGCAGGCTGAAATCGCCTAAGGACACATTTCTCAGAATGTATCCTCATCATTAAGTGACACATGACTGTTTCTATTTTTGTCCCAAATTCTTTCCTTTTGTTCTTACTCTTTTCTATGTTATTAAATATTTATCAAGAACATGAGTATTTATTCATGTACTCATTTTTTTCAACTTTTTATTTAACAAGTAACTATTCAACTGTACTGTACTATGGCTTCTCTTTCCTCTCTTCTCCAGTCTACCAGCAGCACTCTGAGGCCCTAGTGGGTGCATCTCCAGGAGGATGCTGCAGGGTTTCTAAAACACTGTGCTAAGTACTGAGGATACAGTGGTGAAAATGCTCAGCACATCTTATGATTCTTGTCCTCATGTGGCTTCTTTTTTTTTTTTTTTTTTTGAGACGGAGTTTTGCTCTTGTTACCCAGGCTGGAGTGCAATGGCCCGATCTCGGCTCACTGCAACCTCCGCCTCCTGGGTTCAGGCAATTCTCCTGCCTCAGCCTCCTGAGTAGCTGGGATTACAAGCACGTGCCACCATGCCCAGCTAATTTTTTGTATTTTTAGTAGAGACGGGGTTTCACCATGTTGACCAGGATGGTCTCAATCTCTTGACCTCGTGATCCACCCGCCTCGGCCTCCCAAAGTGCTGGGATTACAGGCGTGAGCCACCGCGCCCGGCGGCTTCTTAATGATTCTATGTACTGGCAGGTCCATAAAGCCTCAAGTATCAGCCATGCTTACAATCTCTCTCTAGGAAAAGGGGTCCCATGCAGTTCTTTTTCCAGGAAGTAGTTATACCTTCTCAACCACGTGCATACAATGAAGCCTGCTCGGCTTCCCTAGTGACGACTGGTTGCACCAGGGACCAGTGCCTGAGCCTGAGCTGCCCAGCAGGGACAGTGTCCTAGCAGGAGGGTGGCCAACTGAATGGCCACGGGAGGAGTGAGAGCAGAGGCTCCATCCATCTGGTCTCTGAAATGATGAGAAGGCATTGTTCAACTCCACCAGGCCTGATATATGTTCCAGTGTACAAAATGCTTGGAGCTGGAGACACTGGTCCACTATTGAGGCAGTATTGGGTATTTTACCACTTCTCCATGTGGCACAGCCACAAAATCCTGTTACCCTGTGGTTCTCAACTGTTTTGGGTTTGTGGCCATGGCACAGAACGTGGGCTATATACTAGAAATGTGTGTTCCTCCTTTCATACTGCAAAGTTTTGGCTGCTCAGCTAGGGACTGCATTCCTACCACTTCATGCCCCTAGGTAGGAATATGTAGCTAGTCACCAACAGAATGGGACTGGAAGTGATATGTGTCACTTGCAGGACAAGGCAGTAAAGAGGTGACTTTTACATATTCTTTCTCTCCACCTGCCAGGACTTCAAGGCTCTAAGGATGGAAGAGCTATAGTTGGAAAGAGCCTGGGTACCTGAATCACTGTATGGAGGAAAATCACTTGCTGAGCAGGAACATCCTCATTGGACTAGTTATGTGGTTAAGAAAGAACCCTGGAATTGGGGTGTTTATTTGTTACAGCACAACCTTAACAAAGTGCTCGTATTTTTAGCAGCACATTTGAAAGGATTAATTTGCATGTATAGTAATGACACTATTACACTGTTGACACCTCAGCATAGTGTCATTGTCTGAATAGAACTATTTACTGCCCTGGTCACTCTCTTAGATACTCATAAAGCAAAGTTCTCACAGGTCTTAGCAAATGCATAGTCTTGTTTCTTGGTGTGTATCAAGCTGTGGCCTGTACCACATGGAAACCTGTGAAAGCCCAGCTCAGCATTCCTGCCTGCCTAGACACCATGTCAGCAGCATGAATCATAGTTGTATAAACTTTACCTACCAATTGCAGTGCCTTGGGAAGGAGTCACAGCACTTCTTGCCTCCTCGGTTGAGAATCACTGATTTACAGTGATCTGGTCAAGACTTTTTGCTGGCAATCTAAAAAGGAAGACAAATCAACCCATGTATGGCTGTATTCGTAGCCCCTAAATAGGGAAATACTATAATTTGTTAAACATTTCCCATATTTTTCAAACATTTAGGTTGTTTCTAATTTTGTACTGTCAAAACTAACTGTATATTAAAGACTATTTTTGAATAAATATTTCTGCCCTCATGTTTGTTTCCTTAGGCTATAATATTTCTATCAGGAGCTATGTTTTTTCATTTATTTATGTGGATTTTAAGGGACTAGTAGGAATAAGCCCCATTCTGTGGGGGCAGACAGGAGGGAAGGGCATGTGTCCGATGGAATTGTGAAATAGCGTGTCTGTGCCAGGAGCGGCCTGCAGTTCTGCATGAGGAAAGTGCAGCGTCCTTTAGAGCCTTGAATGGGGTTGAGCCTTGAAGGGAGGTGCCTTTCCTGGGTGCCTTAGATCTTCTGCTAAGGAATTTCCTATTTCCTCTGGTAATAGGAGCCACTGAAGAGTGTGAAAAAAGGCATTATTAACTGCATGGCTCTGGGCAATTCACTTCACCAGGATGAACCTGGGTCTCCACCTGTCTTCTGGGGTGAGGGAAAAGACTGAATCCTCTAGTGAACATGAAGGTGTCCAGCTCAGCAAGCAGCAGCTTCTGGAGGGCAGATCCCCACCTCCTCTGTGTGATCGCCCACTCTGTGGAGGGGCCATTTTAAGGAAGCCAAGCAGGGCTCTTCTGTCGCCCAGGGTTTGTAGTGTGTGTGATTTGTGAACATCTTTGAGCAGACTTCTCTTTAGGGGACTGGGACGACTCCACCGGGCTGTGCTTGCTGTGCTGACATACCTTTTAGAGCTGCAGAAGCTGAAGGACTGCAGATTTTTTATTTTTATTTTTAGACATAGGAGAGCTCTTAGACTAGGGTTGCAAACCACCTGTCTTCTATAGGTGAGCTGCAAATTCTAACACTTAGAATCTAGCAAATATTTACTGAGTACCTACTAATTCCCTGCATGTTATGGGTCCAGGAGATATGTCAATGACTGAGGCAGACAAATTTCTGCACTCACAGACCTTACATTATAGTGAAAAATGATGCAGGCAAGCCCCAAAGTGGAGCTTGGCCCACTGGGTTCTTGGCTTTTCCCAGAAAATTCAAGGGCAAGCCAAAGGTAGAAGGAAACAGCTTTAGCAAAGAGGCGGTGTTATAGGGCTACCGCATAGGCAGAGAACAGTAGCTCAGGGTAGTTTTGCAGTCATATTTATATAACCCACTTTTAATTGCGTACAGATTAAGGGGTGGTTTATGCAGAAATTTCTAGGGGAAGCAGTAGTAACTTTTGGGTCATTGGGTCATTGCCATGGAAAGGAGTGATAACTGCCTGGGTGTTGCCATGGCAATGGTAAATTGACATGGCACACTAATGGGCATGTCTGATTGAAAGTTGCTTTTGCCCAAGCCTTGTTTTAGCTAGTCCTCAATCTGGTCTGGTGTCTGAGCTCTGCCTCTCCTCTGATGTCAGGCTTCACCTCCTACCTCAGGAAGGCAAATACAATAGAAATAGGGGAGAAATGAAACTAACACAAAAATTTGATAAGTTTGTAATGAGTGCCGTCATGGGAAATCAAGAATCTGAGTAAGAGAATTGAAGGGACCCATTTGAGGAAGGAAATCAGGAAAGGCTGTTCTGAGGAGGGAATACTTAAACCCAGATTTAGAGGAAGAAGAGAAACTATGGTTGCAAATAAAGGAGGGGTGGGAGGAAATATTCCAAGGGGAGGGAAGAGCCCATGTAAAGACCCAGAGATGGGGAGAAGCTGGGTCTGATAGAGGAACTGAAAAACCACCAGTGTGTCTGAAGCAAAGTGGGTGTGGCATGGGATGAGGATGAGAGGCAGTACAACCAAGCTGCAGGGATCTGGTCAACACTTTGTTGGCAATGGAAAAAATAAAACAACTATGTAACACAGTGGTTAAAGTGCAGGCTCTGGAGTTTCAGACAGGCTTGGGAGCAAATTACCTTTTCTCTGCCACTCATTAGCTGTGTGATCTTGGACATGTCCTTTCCCAAGGAGGAGGCAACTTACTCTGCACCTTCAGTGACGTGATCAGGCAGAATGGAACACCAGCATGTCTGAATCCTAGGGTTTGGCACTGGGGCAGAATTCTGCAAGACATGACCTGCCCATCAGGGGCTGTGGTCTGCCAGTCTGATAAGCTGCATTTCCCCTTTCTTTGTTGAAACTTGAGAGCAAGTGGTGTTCCAGGCAAAAATTCAGATGCTATGTCAAAGGGAAACAGTTACTGAAGCCACAGATGCTCTTTGTTCATTAATGATACTAGAATCTGGCTGGGGAGGGCTCAGACCCACAGAAATTGGACTCTGCGACCCCAGTGACTCAAACCCCTTGTGAAATGCTGGCTGCTTGGTATGAACTGATGCCTCAACAGTATTAGCAGCAGCTAGCTCTGGAGTTTCTGGGCAGTCCTGCGGGCTGGAAGCTGGGGAGGCTGCTGTAAGGTTGTCTGGAAAATATTTCAAATGGACAATTTACTGGGAAAGGGTGTGTCCTTGCTTTGTAGCTAATGCTGTGGGGACCCTCTGGTGGCCACAGTGGGAGCAGCTCAGCAGTGGGGTTTGCTTTCTCTTGAGTGACCCAGGCAGGAAGCCTTGGCTGGAAAGCAGAGGACTGAATGTGGGGCTGGAAAGGTGACCCAGTTGGCTTGAGATGGAGGCTGTGATTTAGGTTGACACCTCACCCCATTTTCTCTTGCTTTTGGTACCATTTGTCTGGGCTTGAGCAGTGAGAAGAGTAATGCTCTGTGTACAAGATGTCAAAAAGAAAAAAAAAAGATGAAAATAGAGATTTTAAGTTGAATTAGTGTCTGGTATCATAGGGAGCAAAACCTCAGTTTGGGCATAGGATTCCACCAGTTTTATTGGCTGACTTTTAAGTAAATTCATTCTAACTGTTTTGAGCACAGATATTCTGAAAGCCAGAGTGGTTAGCTGTTGGAGGATGTGCTGGCTGGTGATTAGTGGGGCATCTGCAAGGTCTATGTTGGTCATATGATATAAGAACACGAATGTACTCCAAGTCTTCTTATTAAAAATTAACACAATAATTTTATATTCTACAAAGTTGTCTCATATGTTATCTGTTTCTTATGATCACCCCAAGAAATATTTTAGGTTGATTAGTGCTATGATGATAGTAATGATTTATGGTGGTTTACATATATTATCTGTAATTCTAAGAAAAGCTTTGTGAAATAGATACCGAGTCTGTTTTCAGATGTGGAAAGGAAGCTCAGAGAGGCTACATAACTTCTCAGGGCACTGATATAGCCCTGTTGGAACCCAGATAAGCTTAGTCTCCAAGCCTCCCCTCTTGCCACCAGTTTTATTGGTTGACTTTTAAGTAAATTCATTCTACTCCCCTTTACTCTGTAGAGCCACAGTGATGACAGCTGCTTGGGAACATAACCACAATCTGGGCAGGAACACGAGAAGTGTTCACAGCTAGCGCTGCGGCGAGGTGGCGTGTGTGGCTGGTGCTACACAGGAGACGCTGGAGCAGCAGGCTTCCTCTTCACTGGATCCTTAAGAATAACGCCATGGGTGACATGGGATTTGAAGTGAACTTTGCAGGTTGGGTCAGATTTGATAGGCATTCACTGAGCGTGTGGGACAGGGCTGAGAGAAGAGCAGCGCTGGGGGAGGAGTAACAGGAGGGAGGATGCTGAGGGGAGTGTGCACAGGACACATTGGAGGAACAGCAAGAGTGGCTAGAAAGAGGGACTGGGTGAGGGATGAGGGCTAGATTATTGATGCTTTTGAATTCCAGGCTGAAAACTTGAATGGTAGACACAGTGAAATCACAGAGGGGAGAACCATGGTCAGCTGTGGAGTAGGGAGCAGCTGTAAAGAGAGAATGGGGTGGAGCTGGGAGAAAATGAGGGGCAGGAGAGGAGGGAGGTCCACACTGGAATGATGGTGGTGAGGGTGGATGGGAAGGTATGCATTTGAGAGAAAGAACAGGAAGAATCTGCAGGCTGCTGTTGCTGAGTTCTCGGCCGTAGGGAGAGGAAGGAGCAGAACTGCCTAGAAGTTTCCAGACCTGCACACCTTGTACTCTGGTGCCTGCCAAATGCAGGGAGGAGCACTGGTTTGGGAAGGAAGGTGCTGACTGAGCTGCTGAGCTGCTGTTGGGGTTTCTTAGGTGAAAAACAACCTGCTTTGTCGTTAGTCTTGTATAGTTTGTCCCACCTCTGACACGGTGACCTGCAAGGAAGGGCGTGTAGACACTGGTTCTCTCAGTTGTCAGTTCATAGATAACTCTTTCCTGGGGAACACTCTATGGCTCCCTGCACAGCTCACAGTCAGGCTGGAACTCTGGGGTGATACCTGGCCACAGCATAGTCTTCCCCAGCCAGGCTCAGCCATCTAGTGGTGACGGCGTTAGACTGGGAGTCTGTCATTTGGCTGTAGCTGCTGGGCTTTTGAAAGTACAGGGAATTCCCCTATTCTCCCTTGTCCCTAGCACACAATTTCCTCTATCATTAGTATCTTGTATTAGTGTGATACATATTTACAATTGATTAATCAATATTGATACATTGTTCTTAACTAAACTCCATAGTTTACATTAGGGTTCATTCTTTGAGTTTTATAGTTATATGAGTTTTGACAATTACCTAACGTCATGAATGCCCAGTACAGTATCACACCGAAGATTTTCACTGCTGAAAACCTCCTTGTGTTCAACCAATTCATCCCTCCTGCATGCTTGGCAATCACTGATCATTTCACTGTCTCTACCATTTTGACTTTCCTGGAATGTCCTAGTGTTGGAATCATACAGTGTGTAGAGTCTTTAGACTAGTTTCTTCTTAGCATTCTGTATTTAAAGTGCCTCCATGTCTTCTCATGGCCTGATAGATCATTTCATTTATCACTGAATCATATTCTCTTGTACAGATATACCACAGTTTGTTTAGCCATTCACTTACTGAGG